CCCCAAAACCCCAAAACCCCAAAACCCCATTGCCTGATCTTTTCATTGAAATTGTCAAAATCACGAAAATTCCTACGTTACAAGCTCTTAACTCAGTCGTTGCAGATTTTGATGAAGGCCTATAATCCTCCTCCCTTAAAATACTAAACTTTCTTAAAAAAAATTCCAAAACAGCCAAAATTTTATAATTTTTACAAAAACATACGATTTTTCATATTTTTCGAACTTTTGTCATTTTTTAAGATTTTCGCCGAAGAAATTCTGGGAATTTTGGCTTTTGATGACTGGATTTTAGGTCTTTTGGCTGACCTTATTCGAGGAGGTTTCGAAGAGGGGTTGAGTGTAGTGGAAGGAATGTGGGTGAGAAGGTCACGGTTGAACTGGTCGAAGGCTGATATTGCTGGGTTTGATAGGAACGGAGATTTAGAATGGGTTTTAGAACCTCCAGGTACGTGTTGGGCTATTTTAAAGGAAATCTGAAAGAGGTTGGGAAAAGAGAGGGCTGAAATGAGGTATATGATTAACACAATATTCTTACCTTGTTCATCCACATTCTTATATTTTATCACAGCTTCTTTAATCTGGTGTGAATTTAGTGGTTTATGAAGCAAATTATTTAACTCCAAGATTCTTGATATTATTCTGAATTTTCTTAATATTTTGAGTGTAGTAGTTCTTTGCTGTCTGAGGTCTGACTCCTTTCTTCATTGCTATTGATTTTAATGCAGGATTCTGCTTAGATATTCTTGAGAGGTTAGAATTATGAATACTCTTTGCATTCAGCACACTTCTTCTAGAGGCTCCAAACCTTCCACTATTTAATGTGGAGTTCTTTCTCGAAGCATCAAAATCTACCTTCTTATCTGCTGGTTCATTTTGAAGAATTTTAGCCTTCGTGAAGTCTCCCGTTATTTTTGGAATAAATTTACGCCCAGTTTTTGGCCTCTTCTTTTTGGTCAGGCCAGTGCCTGCCTTTGGAACTTCCAAGAAGTTGCCATTTTTAGGGATAAAGATATTCTCTATGTTTTCACAGGTGGAACTGCCCTCTCTTACTTCAGGGATTTTCGAATGGGAGTTACTCCCAGTCTTGTCATACCTAATACGGTCATTTTCGTTGTTCTGGCAGTAAATATAGTATTGTTCAAGTGTCATTTTGCTATTTTCTAGGTCAGGGCCTGGCATGAACCTTCCGTTAGTTTCAAGATTAACTCCAGGTTCAAGGCTGATGATTCCGGTTGGATCTTGGAGACAATCATTGAGTGTAGTCATAAACTTTATATCATCGTGCCCTGTTCTCTTAAGGATCAGAGAGGAATCTATTGGTTTTGGCTTCAGTTTTATCTTTTTATTTCTTCTCACTCTCTTGTTGGCGATCAATAATGATTCCTGGCTCTACCTTAGGGGGAAGTCTAGAGGTCAAAAATCAAGTTTACTTCTTCTCAGAAAGGGTTTTGATCATGAGTACCTTGCCGTGATGGTCATATGTTATCTTTTTGTTCTTAATATCTGCTTTGTATTCAGATTTCATAAGGGCTTCTCTGAGTTCCTCCTCTCTTTGAACTCTTTCTGTTAGCTCTTTTTCTTTATTTTTGCTTGTTTGCTTCCTGCTTGTTCTTACGGTCACGAAGAAGCTTCTCTTCTAAGGGAATTTCTCGAGGCGAAGGAAGATCATTGAGAGGAATCTGGACATGCTTTGGCTCCTCTTTGGGATCAAGGTCTTCTGGCTTGGGAGACTCTGGCTCAAGGCTATTTTCCATTGATTGACGTTTTTTAGTATGCTTTCGAGATTTTAGTTTTATTGAAGATCTTGATATTATAGATTGCTGTGAGCTTCTACGACTCAAGATTGAACCGCCAAAGGATATTGTAAATTTTTCAGGTCCTTGAGTTGTTTCGCTTATTGTTTCTACTCCAAACATGTTAAGTTCTTGTATATCTAAATCTGAGAATTCTATTTTGTCAACTTTTTTAACAGGTCAGTTTCTTGTGGCCCACCTATCAATTTTAGGTCTGACTGCCTCTTCAAGAGATTCATATTCATAACTATTTAGAACTAGCATATTATTTATCGTAAATAATATTTCCTAAATGGGCTACCTCATAGCAGTCAAGTCCAATTGATTCTGCTGAATATGGTTTGGCCATTGCTTCAATATATTTATCATAAATCTCATCATTTGCTTGTTTAAGAGCTTCCTGGATAGAATCCACTGCGCAGATGAGAGCTATCTCTGCTACTTCTATCTGTGTTGTGTCTAAAGAATTATCTTGAATTTACCTTGGATTACACCTTCTTGTTCCCCTTCCATTTGAATTTATTTTAAAAATCTAAATTATATTGGGGTTTTGGGGTTTTGGGGTTTTGGGGTTTTGGGG